GGGTACGCCGCCTGCTGCCGTGATTTATCACGCCACACCGCGTACATACACCGCCATGATGATACATGGCAGAGGCGGAGAAGCGGGGAGAAAGAGAGAGAGAGAGAGAGAGAGAGAGAGAGAGAGAGAGAGAGAGAGAGAGAGAGAGAGAGAGAGAGAGCCCTTCCGCCTCGTACTAATTGACGTCATCGATATTGGTATCCGTCGACGAGCAGATTACTCCGCCGTAAACAACTCGGCCCGCCGACCCCCGAGCCTCACCGGTCCCCCTCCGGTAGCCGCCACACATTCTGCCTGGACGGGGAACCACTTTGCCATCAGCATCAGCACCACCATCATACAGCGTGAATAGGGATACGCAACGCACGTTGTAACGCCGTTACAATTCCGCGTGTGCTGGTGACCCCATCCAGCGTTTGCCCTTTGGAGAAGGCGCAGCGCCCCTTCCCCTTCTCTCGTAGTAAAGGGCCCGAGCCCGTTTGCGACGTGTAGTCGTGATATCGTGTTTAACGTGTTGGGGGATGCCGCTGTTTTCAATTAACTCGAAACGATGTAGGATATTTTGCTTAAAAGTAACAAGAGAAGAAAGTCGGTGATGTGGTAGGGTGAGTAGGTTGATTGTGTGGTAAAGGTTATGAATGTTCTCCACTGATAGGATTAATACGTGTACGGTTGCTTTGATGATTTTCTAACAACTATCAAGCGCGTCGTTATTTCTAATATTTTCGTTTTAATAATTATTAAATTCTATCTTCTTTTAATGAAAGTTTGGAATATCGATGTAATACTCGCATTTACTTTTATATTTAAAGAAACTATTAAGATTTATTTTACTTATATTTTTTACATGATTTATTTAAATTTATTTAAATCATTCACAGATATATCCAAGATGTGTACAAAAATAAGTAACAAAACAGAGTGCTATTTTAAAAGAAAATTTTTTTGGATTAACTCTTTTTTTAAATGATCATCTTTAAATTCGAATCCGCAATTCATGTGAGTAAGAAGTTCATCCGCGCAATTCAGACAACTATTAGACCGCACTATAGAGATAAGGGACGAAGCAACTCAGCAAAATTATAGTCTGTCCAAACACTCCCTTCCACTGCAATCGCCCCAATAAAGAGAGAGGTTACAGAGAGCAGCCACGTCGCTGACTTTCCGTCGCGGACAGAATGAATCGCGACTACCACACCCCCGGCATCATCTGTACAAGAAAGTATCTAATCCCCCTGATTCACGGTCGATGCCATCGCTACACACAATCCTGTCCGGCGCGCTTCCTCCTTCTCTCTCTACGGCCTTCTCTTTCTCGCTCACTCATTCGCTATTCTCTTCCCTTACCCTGTCGGTCGCTCTCGCGTTCTTCATCGCCCTCGAAGCCACCCTCTATCTCATTCTTCTCATGATACATGCTCCGATATGAGAGAAAGAGAGTCCGTTTACGAAACAGGGGCGCCACGGTCTTTAACTCGCAAATGCCCCGCGTTCACTTTGCCGTATTAGATTCTAATAGGGGGACACGCGCTAGCCGAGGGCGTCGTTCATGTTAAGAGCTCTTCGTCTCGTCTCGTCGCGTCGCGTTGCACTTGACTTGCCTTAACTGAGTGTTTACGCAGTGGTCCCTGATTAAATCGGGCGACGGACATCATTGTCAATTTTGGCGATGAGAAAGTTGACTTTCATACTCATTTAATCGCAGGTAATTAAACATAAATGAAATTAATAAATTTGAAAATGAGTGTAAATAATTTTTTAATACATATAGATATATCAATATATCAGGCGGAAATTTTGATGTAAAATCGCAAAGAATTAAAGAGTGTTTTTAAGCAAATCAATATTTGTGATATTTAATTTAATTTTTTTTTAAATTAATACTTAAAATTTAGAAGAAATAAATAGTTTTGAAGAGAAAATTAATATTTTTTTGTTGGAAATTACATTAGTTGATTTACTAATTAAGTAATATAATCTACAATGTTTTAAATCTATCGAAGGCTTTGCCGTGAAATAATAATGGAGAAGGGTTTACAGAGATTTTTAGTGATTTTAAATTCAACGTTACATATATGTCACGCGCAAGCTACGAAACACTTGTATCATTTATTAGCTCAGATTACGCATATACATCACCGGCAAATATTTCATCGCAAGAATTTATGCGAACACCGACCGCGCGCATTACGGAGAGAAGCTCCTTTCCCGTGTCGTTCCGCGAGAAGGATATGGGAGTCACATTCGAGCAACGACGTTCGGTTGATCGAATATATTAACATGCGGGCAATTTGTACAGCCTGACGGATATAACCCCGAGAACCATCGGTGGCAAAATGTATTCCGGGGATTACATCTCCCGAAATCCGCCGTCGCGCTATTAGGCGGAACAAAAAAAAAGAAAAAAGAAAGAACCGCTCTCGCGCTTCCATACGGACGCGGGCGTCGGTAAGGTATACGTTTCGATAATGAAAAAGTTATAAATCTCGTATTGTGAAATGGCGGGCCGATATAAATCTTCATCGGGCAGCGCTGCCAAATCCCTTCGTACCGCGTAAATCCCTTTCCAATATTGAAAAAAGTGATAGGTCCAGTATGTAATGATCCGGTATTACCCGAAACCGCGAGGGAGCGGTATCGATCTATCGTTGGTATTCCGCTCGCATCGACCGCATCGTTCTGTACATCCTCTCTCGTGTATCCAATTATAAGATATCACTCTCAAATAAAACATCCATATAGCGTAGTCGGAATGCCGCGCTGCGTGAGTGCAGTTGCATAATTTCTTTAATTTAGGATAACGACAGATTTATTGAAATGTTTCTTGCATAGGAGCTTTTTCCTCCTTTTTTTTATATGGCAAAACTTTCGGAGTCAATTCTATTAATAGACGATCTCATATCTTTTAAGAAATTTCAACGTTTTAACCGCCATCTTTCGTATGGTGATAAAACTATTGGATATACAAAGGAGTAAATTATAATCCGACATCATTTTTTTTTCTTCTACATGAATACATATGTGTTATCGCAAATAGTTTCACAATCACTCTTCACCCCCTGAGAAACTAAAGGAAATTGCACGATACCGCAGAGATAACGCAGGATTCATCGAGGGTGTTGATGTAAACAAGCCCTCCCTTCCTCCCGATCTTTTTTCCCAGTCAGCCGGTCGCGCAAAAGAGTACGCGGGTATATATTGTCGTAATATTTCGAAAAAACGCGCCGGCACTCCGAGATCCGGAGGGCAATCTCGCCCTCGAAGATGGCATATATGCGGAGGTGAATCGCCTCTTCCCGAGGAAATCCGAGGTAATTGAATGCTAACCCTCCTCACCCCCGCGACGCGTCCCTTCGCTCGCGCTCTCGCTCCGCGCAACTCCTCTCCGTCCACCCTCCGTGTCGCGTCCCTCATCCACCCTCTAGCCATCCCAACCCCCGTGGGTTTCAGGGGGCGCCACGCTCGCACTCTCGCTTCCCCTTCGCCATCACTCACCGACACAGACTTGTAGCTTTCAATAAAAATGTAAATATGGCGGCGTAGAACGAGCCAATGACAGCGCTACATCGACGCCCGAGTCCGCGAGGGATAGATAGATAGAGAGG